GATGAATGGTGGTGACAACAGTTCTGCCCCCACTAGCCAGGCGTTTGATCGTGGTCATGATCCGTTGCGCCGTGGTCGAGTCCAAACCCGAAGTAGGCTCATCTAGCAAAAGTAAGCTTGGGTTGATTAGCATTTCCTGGCCTATGCTAACTCTCTTCTTCTCTCCTCCTGATATTCCTCTGAACAATGGTCCCCCAATCATGCTGTTCCGACACCTCGTTAGTCCAAGCTCAACGATAACTCTCTCTACATGTCGGACTTTCTCGTCTCGGTTCAAGCTGTTGGGTAGCCTCAGCAGTGCCGTGAACAAAAGGGTCTCGGTCACGGTCAGATGAGGGTATAGAACATCATCTTGAGCAACGAACCCTGCTCTTCGCTTTATGGAACCACAAAAAGGACGACCATTGTATGCGATCTTGCCGGATAACTTCCCAGTGAGACGCCTCCGAGAGCCGTAAGGAGGGTGGTTTTACCACTTCCCGATGGACCTAACATTGCTAGTATTTCTCCAGGACAAACAAAGCCTGAGATACCATTGAGTATGGTCTTTTCTCGGGTAATCCATCCACCACAGCCCGATCCTTTCTGCTCCAATTTGACCTTGTAGACGATCTCTTCAAACTGTGAAAAGAGACACAAAATAAGATAAAACTAATATCAAATAAGGGGATGTGCCATTGTTAGTCGTTGATTTACCTTGAGAGTTATGGGATACAAGGTGAGTGTGAGAGGAGGTTGTGAATTGTGTTGAATTGGGGCACTAGTGCTGCTGCCATGTTCTGGTTTGGGTGCTGTGAAGTTGAGAGCCATGGCTAAAGCAAATGAAGTGAAATTGTCGCTGGTTTTGGACTGAAGCTGTTGATGCTAACCTAGCTGGACCGGGACCTGGGGAAATGATTTGAAGGGATTAGCAAGTTCCTCTTAAACTTGGCTTCTCAACCTGAACTGGAGTGCACATAAATATATAGGACCGTAAATGAGACGAGACAAATCATAAATTATTCAAATTCAATTCGATCAAATCTCAATTAATATTCAAATTAAATGTACTTGATTCTAGCTAAAACTAGACTTTAAGTTCTCAACTAAAATATATAAAAATAATATTCTAATATAATTAATTTAGGATTTTCCTATTTATTCTAAGACCGACTCCAAACTATCTTCCTATTTATCAGCATCTATTCTTTTAGTAGGGTAACCTTGGCTGTTGCATATAAAAAATTAAATTTTTAATATTATAATATAATTTTAATTTAGGATTTTAATAAATGAAAAATATATAGTTTAAAACAACATAAACGTATTAAAACATTTGAGGTGGGTGTTTGAGCCTTTAATATTATTTGAGTGTCAATTTCCTTTAGAAAAAGGAAAAAGATAGCATATCATGGATACTCCATAACATGCTATGTCGACCTAATGTTATTGTGCAAGGAAACTGCATAGAAGACAATGATGTGTTTCCCCCACCAAGCATTTCTCACTGTCGACTTTTATCATCGAGTCTTATCGTAAATATCCGTTTAATATTAAATTATAATTATAAGATAGCATATTAGCCCGAGGATTCGAATCCTCATTGGAGTTTGGTTTTAAAGCTGATGACCATGACCATGACCTTGATTCTTCCGAAACCGGAGAATGGTATAGCAGGAAAGTGTTATCCTCGAAAATTTTAAATTCTTATATGTTTAATTTCTCGACTTTCTAAATGATAAACACGATCTTTTAACATAAAATCTTGTATTATAACGACCCGTAGCTGGTTTTTGTACGCGAACAAAAGCAATGAAGGGAAACTCTCAGGTTCTCGACCCTAAACGAAGAATAGAATTTCTCATGTCGTTTGAATTACGATGGATCGTGTCTCCTTTTTCTGTGTCGGCAAACACGTACTACTCGGTCAAAAACATAAAGCAGCTCATGCAGATGCTGCGTTACGTTCACGCCTTCTTCTTCCTCCTCCTCTTCTTCTCCTTTTTTATATATACAAGCATATAGCTATGGCGAGGGACAGGATTATGCTAATAGTAGTAGATAAAAGAGGAAGGGTCGGTCATGCAACGAAATCAAAGTGAAAGCAATTGATTCTTTTATTCCCCCGACACTACCCTGCTGCTATAGATTCAGTTCTTTACTGTAATTTTCAACATTAATGTTTATTTTATATTTTTTATAAGATATTATAAGATTTTCACTCAACGGGTGGGGATCGATCTAGGAACTTAGGTGCTCATCAGCAATTTCATTCTCTGCTAGACTAACGCCATTCTCCTTTAACAAATAATATTTTTATTTTCAATCCTTCATATAATGAGATTTACCGAAGAACTCATCGTTGAGAAGTTTCCGAAGTTCTATATCGTCAACTACAATATCTGACATGATTACTGATATTTTCATATAATCTGTCAGGACCAAATCTAATATAAGACAATCATCTTTTTGACATGTTAACCAACAAAAAAACTATCATGACCTTAGGCTGACACTAGCACTAACAACGAGTATCTATGCCTGTAAGCCATCATGCGCCGGAGAAAGGACCATCAGTTGTAAAAAAAAGATTAGCATTAACAAACACGAATCTTTTATCTTGCAATGCTACTATTTTCACACAATCAATTCATGGAAGATCATTTTAATTCAATTAAGATTTTAAATTTGAAACTTCAAGAATATATAGATTTATTATAAGGAGTTTTTTCAATCCATTTTGTTTTGCTCATAATATTTTTAATAGACTTAATATCTCATCTCTATATATTAACTAGTAGGTGCAAATCAAAATTAAATGATATATAGCAAAGATTTTTCAAGCCACAAACAATCATTTCATCATCATCATTCTTGCACTTGCTGCAGCTTGCACAACTACAACAACCCATCAACATCAAATATCAGTGTGGTACGGCATATATATTTGTACAATACAATATATGATTGTCTCGATGGATAGATCTATGTATTTCTATTGAAAAACTATTTTAATCTTCTAAAATTTTATAAATTCGAATTTATCTCTTTAAATTTATAAATTCAAATTCTTTCGTTTATCATTTCAACAATATTAACTATCCACCACCATGCACTTATGAATAGTCTATTCCAGATGGAGGAAATGATGGAAAGAAAAGGGGAAAAAGAAAGCAGTAATAATAGACATTTGATGAAGAATAAGTGGCCAAGTGGGTGGGGTTACAAAAACAAGGGAGCACACGCGTGGTGATTATGGGCTGTGGTATAAAAATGTTGTTTAAAGTAAGTGTGAATATATTAATAATATAATTCTTTTGTGCGAGGACATAAATAAAATTTTAATATGAATCTCATAAATAAAAGTGGATAATTAACATAAAAAATTTAGATTTTATGTGAACGTTTTCCTACACACGTAAGATTTTATGTTAAAAAAACTTTTAAAATTTTAATCGAATAAAAAATATTATCAATAAAAAATTTAAAATATATGATAACTTTAAATTTTTAAAGAAGGCAAATGCCCTTACCATTATTGGTACATCCCTATCTGAACCACACTTGTTGTGCTGTCTCCGGCTACAAATCTTAGAAATTTATATATTAGAGCCTTTGGGTTTTTTCCTTTGGTATTTGATTGGAGATGCCATTTTCCACCACATCATTCCCACTTTGATGATCTCACTGTTTGAGAGAATGTATTGAATGAATGAATGTATGGATGGTTGGCATCATCACATGGGTAGAGGTGGCAATGGGTCATTTGGTTGGGTTTGGGTCGGGTTATTTTGGGTTATGACTGTATTCGATTTAGGTTCGGGTCAGGTTGGATTGGGTTCGGGTTTAATTCGGGTCTAGGAAATTTTAATTCGGGTCGGGTATCGAGTCAGGCCAAAACCTGATCGGTTGGTTTTCGGGTCAAGTTAAAATCGGATTGATTGGTTTTCAGGTCAGGTTAATATCATATCGATTGGTTTTGAGTCGGATTAATATTGGGTCAGTTTGTTTTAGTTCGGGCCAACCTATAGATTTTCGGGTCAATTCGGGTTAATTTCGGTTTGTTTTAATCGTCATCTCTCTTTGTCGTCATAATCATCGATGTTGCTCTTCATTGCTTGTAATTCAGGAATTTTATGAAACTATATATTATCACATTCCAAATTCGAGAGAAGTTTAGTTTAAAATTTAGGGTAAATATAGTAATGGTCACTGAACTTTTCTAAATCTTTCATTTAGGTCCCCTAACTTTTACAACTTACAATACAACCCTCCAATATTTAGTTTGTTTGCAATATGGTCCTGACCGTTACACTATCGTTAGTACGTTTGCAATATGGTCACTGAACTTTTCAGGCACTTGTATTTAGGTCTCCTAACTTTTAAAACTTGCAACACAATCCTTAATTTTATTCTAAACCCCGAATTCTTTTTCGATCTCAAATTTCCTTTTTTTGCTTCTCTCTTCTCATTTCCAGCGTAACTTTTCAGCCGGAGATGCATGGGAAATTCTAATCTAACTTTGAATTATGTGGAGGTGTTTACTTGAATAAGGGTCTATTGAGACAAGACCCGAGCAAGAGACTATCGGAACCATCAACGATTCAAGGTGTAATGTTAGATACAGGTCATCTCAAGTGAAGCATAGATGTTCGATGAAATGCTTGTGAGAAAAAAATGGGGTTAGAAATACAGAGTTGACAAATACTACTAAGATGAACTAAGTATCATTGTTGAAAGTCACCCACAAAGTTGGAATTATTTGTATAAATGGAATATAATAATTTCTTCGTTTAATCTTTGTGGTTAAAGATTTTCCAACATATGATCAAATATAATGAAATCCCAAACAGAGCATTCACTCTCAGTCTCTTTCGCTCACATGCACTATCGTTTGGTTTTTGTTCTTCAATTTTTCGCCATGTAAAATTGTAAACCCAAGCAGTGCTCTGTCTTTCAGCTTTTTATTTACAAAGAAAAAATGGAGGAAGAATTACTGGAACGCAACATCGATTGTGTTTATTTCTTAGCATCTCCCTTCACTTGCAAGAAGGTATTTATTTTCTCTTTTGGGCTATCCGGAAGTAAGCTTTTCCTCTTTCGCACTTTCCCATTTTGAACTCGCATTGTGTGTTTTTTTATTGAAATTTTTATGTTTCTGGAACTGCATGTCAGGGATCTGGATATTCAGTGTTTGTTTTGAACCAAACCATCTAATTTTCTTTCCTTCTTCTTAATCAAAACTTTTAGTACTCCTTATGAAAGATATTCAGTCTATCATAATAGAAGTGAGAGAGGGACATAGGCTAATTTTTTATATTCTTGTTTGGTTTTTCTTTAAATCAGGGAATTGGTTGTGAGTATCGACATAGTGAAATCGACAGGCTCAATCTGAGAGACTGCTGGTACTAGTTTACTAGGAATTGTATATATTCGACCTGTGGTTTTCGACGTCTGTGAGCTCGTATTCTTTTTAATAAGTTCATGTTGATTATGGGACTATATATCGTAAATGAATTGGATTTTTTTACATGTTTTGGAAATTTTACAGTTGAATCTGTATTGAATTATAGCTTTAGAAGACAACTCTGTATGCACGCAACTCGAAAGACATCATGACAGGCTAGTATATTTAGAGCAACTACTTGATATGTTGCCCGTCATTGCAAATTTGCACCTTCATTTCTGGCATATATATGTTTGTTGCAGTGTCCTCTATGTTTTACAATGTCTTTTATTGCTGACATGCCATGAATTTACAAGAATTATGAGGTCCTATGATTTTAGTTCCGCTATCTTCTTTAGATTCTCATCATGTTTGGCTATTGAGGAACATTAAACATGGAGCATTAGAAGCAAATATATGTTAAAAGGGTAGGCCATTAATGCATTTGCAATTGGTAACGTTGTATTTGGCATCTAATGTATATCTTAAACAACC